TTACAAAACCAATAGCTCAAACCACAGCAAGAAGTGAGACCAGTATCTGAACAAGTCCTAGTTTCAGAGCAGCTCTATAGCAGAAAGAAAAGGAGGTCCTGTTTTAAGTTTGGTTGGGGTTTTCATGTGTATAATTTAAGAACACCCTTTAAAACTGAAACACGAAAGTTTTCCAGATTTTACATTCAGATATTCTACCTCTCCCTTTATTTCTTACTATTTCCTTCCCATTTTAAGGAACCTGTTAAGATGAACCATTTTTCAATAGCGCTCTTAAACCAGGTACAGCTAAATTATAGTACACTAAGAATTAGTGAAAACATTACAGCCTGCAAGCTCAATTCTAAATTCTTTATGTCATGTAGATGAAGGAAAACACTGAACTTGGGTAGATGCAGCTATAGAATGGTTACTTCACTACTAATGTAGCTTAGTTATCTCAGTTTTTACAGGGAAATTCCTTTCACAGTCACACTCACTCAATTCACAGCTAAGACTCATCGATCACACAGGCCAACCCTCTTAACAAGGAGGAAACCATGATTCATTGGAACTTTTAGAAGATTTCAAAGACACACTGGCTCAAGCTGTAAGACTGCACTGGCTATAAAATGAAGTATAAATAGTGCTTGCCTCATCCTGACATAGCAACACACAAGTGGAAGAGCCCTCCCAAGAGAAATGGGATCTCTTGAATGGAGCCACCAAACCCTTAGGGCAACCTGCCGCTTCATGAACTTGAAAGGAACTGCATCCCTTCAAAACAACTACAGTGAAGCCTTTCAGAGCAGCAGGCACTTACTGATGAGTATCAGCTATTTTCAGTAGAAGATACAGGGACCCAGTATCACCCAAGGTTATTACCTAATAAAAAAACCTGCTGAGGTAACAAAGATTTTCAAAATTTTCCTTAGGTACAGCCACACCTAGTAGCTCTCCAGAATTAGATCTTCTGTATCTTCTAAACTACTGCCCTGATTACATAAATTTCCATGTAGTTCTCAGTTGTGAGCGCTTTTTTTTTTTTTACTTTAATGATGCAGATTCCCCCCATGATCCTTTGCAGCTTTCAGACAAAAAGTGTTTAGTCTTTCAGACACAAAATTCTTTAGTCTGAAGAAAAGGAGGTTGAGGGGGGACCTTATTACGCTCTACAGCTACCTGTTGTAGAGAGGTGAGCATTGGTCTCTTCTCACAAGTTACAATCAATAGGACAACAAGAAATGGCATCAAGTTGCACCAGGGGAGGTTTAGGTTAGGCATTAGGAAAAACTGCTACATTGAAAGGTTTATCAAAGACTGGAACAGGCTGCCCAGGGGCAGGTGAATCTCCATCCTTGGATGTATTTAAAAGCCATCTAGGTATGGTGCTCAGGGACATGGTTTAGAAGTGGGCCTGGCAGAGTTAGATAACAGTTGGACTTGATGATCTTAAAGGTCTTTTCCAGCCATAATGATTCTATGACAAGGCCTCAATAAAAACAAACAGTATATATGTTAATTTGGCAAATCATCATGAACCTTCATATACTTACAATCCATTCTGATCCTTTATACCACCAAAGTATTGATCACTTCTGAGTTTCTTAGATTTATTCCCTAAGAAATTACATCAAGTATTTTTTTTCCCCATTGAATTAAGGTGAATCAGCACAGGCAGTGCAATTTTGTTTTACTAAAATTCAAGTAGGAAGAAAGCCAGGTGGCTTGCGAACAGATAAGGTAACACAGGTGTTGTCTTGTAGCTAGAATTTTAACCATTTTCATCAACATTAAAGTTGTTAGCATTAAAGTTAGTTAGGCCTGTTAACGATGGGCATTAGCTGAACTTCTGATTAGGGTCTTGCATATGACCACTTTGTTATATAACTGGTGAGATGGTCGGCCTTGGGAATGTTTCTTCACAAGTATCTGGGCTAATTAATAGAAGAACTTTCCGAGATGTTCTCATGGATAATGAGGATTCTATCCTTGAGTTGTATCAAAAAGATCACCTAATCAAGGAAAGCAGGTGGTGCTGTCTTTCTTTGAAGTAAAACATCCTGGAGCAGACTAGCATACAAACCTTGAGGATGCTACTAATCTACCACGTTTTGAAAGGCATAGCCAACTTGGCAGAAAAGTGAAAATTCTGGGTGTCCTAAACTGAACTACCTTCATTGTAATACTAAAAATCACACCCATAGGCCAGGAAGTCTGTTGCCCATGTGAAGACCCTTCCCTTGCACAGGTGCAGTAACTAAGGAGAACAACATAACCAATATTATAATCATATGTATATTACTAACCAATCATTATAACTGGGAGTGCGCTACCTTGTACCTTTTGTGTATAAATATGACAAGAAAGCTGGCATGCGGTGTGCATGATTTATGGAAATATTCCACTGTGCACCCCGGCCAGAATAAAGCAATGTCTCCTCTCTAAACATAGTCTCTGTGTTCCGGGAGAATTGGGACTTCATTCTCTTTTGCAGGGAACACAGGGGCCCGACTACCACATGACCAGTTTTAATATTCAACCCAAGCTCAGAATTTATTGAGTCAGAAGACAGCTGCCTCACAGCCTATGTCAAGTGTGGTTTCACCTAGCTCACTCCTGGGGACCTGAGCTACCTCCGGCACAAACGCCATGACACTACCACAACCACCACTTCAGTGAGCCAAAATACCCAAACCCAACTGGGAGTCACAGTTGTGAAACGCTGCACTGAGGAGACACAGCAGTTATTTTCTCAGTTCTCACACTGGCCATGCAGGTCCTGCTTTAGGGGCGTGCCAAGGCAAGCAGGCGGAGGAAGCATTCCTTGTGCATCTTCTGATGTATCGCTCTGCTTAAATGGAAGAACTGTACCTTCAGGGATGCCACTGTGCTGCTCTCATAATATGAAGGAAGAATCAAAGCACCAGCACCCATTACAAGGTTGCAATCCAAGCTCACACCCTAGTACCTTACCATTTGTCCAGAGTTGCAAATTATCTAAGAAATTAGGGGTGCTAGAAGAACACAACCCACCACACCAGATCAGACCACTGGTATGTATCCAGCCCTTAGCCCATGCCTGGAGCTTTAAGGAAAAGCCAGAAGCAGCATCCAACCATTGTGTTTCACTGCAGGCAGCAAGGGAGGAGAGTGAAGGGTACATCCCCTCCTTCCTACTCACAGCGACCAGATGCCTTCAAGGGAAGATTCCAGAGGAACTTACTTCAAACACCTTTGACAGGAGCACTCACCTCACCCGCGATTCCCTGTCCATTAACTGCTATGAGATTCTTCGAGGGTTTATTTTGCACACCTGCACCCCACTTGGAGCTTGAACCCGTCGGGCTCAGGCGCAGGAGGGATACTCAGGCTCTCTGCCCCAACGCACCGCCTCACCAGCTGCTTTCTGCTCCAAGCTGGCCCCAACCCCCGGGCGGGCCCCGCAGCCCCTTACCTTGCTGTCATCCATGTGTGCCGCCAGACCCGGCCCGGCCCCAGGTGGTCTGTGGCTGTTAATCCGCATTTCCGTTCCATTATCATCCATGACCTACACTTTGCTTGTACTTTGGTAAAGAATATTTGATAGACTTTATATGCATCTGCCTCTTCTCATGTGCTGCCCTGAAGACCATGAACTGGCCAGCGAGGCTGCGGGAACGATGTGTCTGGGGCCATTTTAGCCACTCAAACTTCTCCCCACCTCTATGGGTACAAAAGCTTGCAAGCCTTCCCTTGTTCTTCATTCCAACCATCAGTCCCATACATGTCTTAGATGCCCTAAAAGACCTTTTGCTTTTGCTTTTTCTCATAACGCAGGGCTGAAACACTCCCCAGCACTGTAATCCTCCTCGGTTCCCATATTGGCACTTCCATCACAGTAGCCTAAAAGAACATCAGTCTAAGTTTAGAATAAATGTCATAGCCCTCCAGATACCCCATATTCAGACAAGAGAGGGACGGGGAGCTCTTTTTGCATCTCCCAAGAAGTAGCAACGGCTTTTGGGAAAACCTTTCTGAAGTGCCTGTCTCACCTCTACCATCCTGCTGGGCCCTTCCTCCTCCTCCTCTTCCTCCTCCTCCTCCTCCTCCTCTGCCTCTTCCTCCACGCGTGCCTGGCTGCAGCCCTGCCCCTCAGTACCCTCTGGTTACAGAGCCAGGAAGGTTCCAGCTGAGCAGCTGTGTAATGGCTTCAGCATTACAAAAATAAAGTAAATCCCACGTTTACTACTATTGCTTGCCTTATTTTGCCCTTCCGAGTTCCTCAAGGCAGAACCGAGTCTCCCTGGCCGCTTGAGCGCTGCTGGGGGGTACTGGGCCTGAGACGCAAACACCCCCCCCCGCAGCCATCCCAAGTCTGAAGGAGCAGCCCTCGGTGATGCTTTGAGAACACCAGGTTTTCTCCTTTCCGTGGTGACACGTACCAGAAAAGGTTAATGTTGAACACTTCTGATGCAAAACCAAGCTGTGCCCTTACCTCCCTGCCCTCCAGGTCCCTTGAAATTAGGTCCCTGCTTGCCCAAATGATGTGTGTACCCCCAGCGAACAACTCTGTAAACACGGCCGTGTTTCAAGTTCACGGTGAAACCTGAAGCAAGGCATGTTTCATGTTGCTGCATGTTTCTTTTTATCCATGCAACTCTATTCACTAGAGTTTCCCATGACTTAATCTCTCTTACATGCAATTGTTAAGGCTAAAGACTTTGTCATGGGATTTTGCTCCTGAATCACAGACCTTCCTCTTGGAGGGATAATGCTTTCTGGATGGCAAAGACAAAGCACTTTTATAAGCTTTTTTTTTTTTTTTTCTATGAGCTTATATGCTTTTCAGTTGTCGAAGACAAGGCAGTTTACGCACTGCTTCCTATTTGCCTGTCCAAAACGGATGTATCAGCAAGAGGCATCAGCTAATAAAGTGGAAGGAACAGCTTGCTATGAGCTTGCCTAGGTGTTCTCCTGTGCTCCCCTCCCCCATGTTTGCCTTCAAATTCTTGGAGAAGGCAGTGAGGCGCCTAGTACCACCTTTGGCACTATCCTGGGGCCATAAAGCTGGCTTTAAAAGTCAGTTGGGGGTTTCCCTGGTGAAGGGAAATATTGAGTGGCACAGAGCCAACATAGCTCACTTAGGCAACCCTCTGTTGCAACATGAGTGGAGGAAGGAGATTAGACAGAGCCCTGATGCTGATTCAGAAAGGCCAGAATCCTTTTAACCAGCAAATTAAAGTTACAGCTGCATCTTTTCCTCCCACTAGATTACCCCACACTACCCATTCTGCTTTATATCACTTAAGAAGCAGAGCTCTCAGCTTCTGACTGGGCTAAGAACAAGTTCCCTGACTAAACACTTAAGAGCTTCCATATTTTAGCATGGAACAACTCGAAATATGCATTTCAGTCTCCTTTTCTGCTATGGCTATGCTGTCCTCCTAGATGAATATGAACATGCAAATTGAATGGAAGTCTGTCAGAAAGAACAGTTGTGAATGTAATTGAACATTACATATATGCACATATATAGCACACAAGCTTATGATGTTTTAAACTGATTTTAACAGCTAGAAGAAAGTACTTTACAGAGCAAATAGTGAATTCGGAGTTTACTGCCACAGGACACTGTAAGGCAAAGAGTTCAGCTGGTTCAAAAAATGACTAAGCAGGTTTATGTTTCATAAAGAGGTACTAAAGGGATGTATTCTCCACCATCCCTAACTGAACAGTTTGGGATACTGGGGATGTATGAGAGGAGCAGAGCACAGAAAAAGGCTATGTTCACATATTCTCCCTAAAGACCTCCTGCCACTCCCAGAGACAGAATACTGAACTAAATGGACCCATGGTCTGACACAGCAGACCTTTTCTCTTTCTCATGTTGTCTAACAGGTCACCATTTCAACCCCCAAAGATTCACAAGTGAATTTTTAAGTAAAACTTCCTTGGTGAAAGTAAAGGCAGATGATCTGCATACTAGACCAACTCATCCTCACTAACTGCAGGTTACTGTTTTTCCTAGTAAGCGGTCATTCCTAAGTGACTCTCTGAGACATCCTGATGGTTTTATTGCTAAACCATAGTGATGCACACCAAGGAAACACTACCTTGTATTAAATCAAATGTCACAAATTGTCTTACACAATAACTACTGGCAGTTCCCTGCTCAAATTAATTATATTTATTAAAAGAAGGGTTGTGCTTCTGAGATCCAGAGAGACTTTGAGGTATATAAATAAACTGGGTTCGGTGATCAGGCAATAGTTTAAAAATCATTGCTTATGTCAGTGTGACTAAAAAATCACCTCACTCATGAGGTGATTTTGCACCATGTGCTTGTATTTGCAATGATGTCAACACATCCCAAATAGGTGTTTATTCTCTCTTTCTAGAACTATAAAGGTTTTAATTTGGGCAAACGGAAATCTGTTCCTCTGAAAGCCTGCCTGAAATAAGAATAAATCTTGCATCCTGTTGGTATCAAGACTCAGCATTTTGCTGAAATTGTTCCACTGTCCATTTGTGGAGTCTTTGCAGCTTCAGAGCCTTTGAGAACAGTTCATTCATGGATGGGAAAACAAGGATGCAGTTAAGATATTTTCTTGTTTGTTTTCCAAATGTACCAAAATGCCAATTGCTTTAATAGAGATGCCAACTCATTTGCATGTGGGGAAAGATTGTGCAAGAACAGCCCGTCTTTCAATCTCTTGGGTTTTTTGTAGAATCAGTAAAGAAATCTCACTGTCCTATACCCTTTAATCTGATGCTCAAGAAACACTTCTGGAAATACAAGAAGAAACTCCTGTCTTTCAGTTTTTAGACCCTGTTGATACTGAGAGAGAGATCACCCTCACCTTGTCATTTCTATCCATCAGTTAAATTGTCCAGGGAAGTGACAACAATGTTTATTTACATAAGATTGTATCGCTTATTGTCACTTATATAACTATGATAAAAGTATACCAGATTTTTTTTATATATTAGAGAAATAAGCTATATATGCTTAAGTTCTGAAAGACCTGGTAAACACATGAACAGCACATGTTAACAAGTGCAGTGATTGATCACATCATTGGGATGATTAAAATAAAATTCTATGTAAAATACAAGCTCTTTGAAAGCCGATTTTAAAACTCTAATCAGTGTTTGAACAAAGCATAGCACGCTGGGAGCCTGATCTGTGACTACTTGCTACACACTGTGTAATTAAATGTTGACAAGGGGTCTGCTCTCATATTTGCTAAATGTTCTACTTTGTGACAAGATGAGCACCTTCTGTACTTACAAATGCTTGAAGTCACATCTACAAGGGGAGTTCTTCCTGTTTAGCTATTGCAGATTAACTTCTCACATAGAATGGACTCAAAATAAGTTAATTTGGAATAATCAGCTCTTGTCCTATGCATACACACACAGAAAAAGTTACAGCTTTATCTAGCCAAACTAACTTTCCCACGCAAAATCTTGAAACAGTACTCATGAAGCTTTTATATTGCTGAATGGTTAGGCTACTTATAAATTTTATTGCATGAAAATGTTCATGCTGCAGCTGGAAATGAGCTACTTCTAGCTAGTAGAAGGGAGAAAAAGACCTCAGATGCTCCTATACTTCACACATGTGATTGATAGTTCCAAGTAAAATAGAGTGGAGAACTAGGAATGATTCAAAAAGTCATTTGAATAACATGGATTTCAGGTAGTATTTAAACTAAATATAAAAAACTGAGAACCAAAGAGCAAGACAAACAAATCACTGATTAAGGAGATGACGAAGAGTGGGTTAAAGTTCAATGCGGTGCGCAAGTGAATAAAATTTAAACTTGTTCCGAAACAACAAACAAACAGAGCAGCACAATATGCCACGTTCAGGAATGTGAGAGCCATGTTGTATCTGGCACTTGAACAACAGAGAATTATTGCTGCTGATATGGTAATTGCAGAGGTACAAAAAAAAGTGGGTGGATCATGTGAAATTCATTAAATACTTGAGGTGAACTTACAGCAGGATTAGTCTTTTTCTTTTAACTGTGTACATTGATCTCTATGCACAACTGGTTTAGTAAAAAAGCATATTGTTCATTCTCAAGAGGTTTAAAAATCTACTTCAGCTCAGTGTCATTTTTTGTTCTTAAGATATTTTGCAACATGTTTCTCCCCTTTGGCCTACGCAAACAAATATGCCTGCATATGCATACCTATTAGAGCCAGCCAAAAACTGCTGCCTGTAGCTGGCCATTCTGGTAAGAGTACTTCTGGTTGCTTGCCACAACACTTAAAATCTTTTTAAACAGTTTTGCCCAGACCTACATTCTATGGCATGGGCTGTGCTTGCACTCAAAACTCTGATACTGTTGTCTTGTTCAAGGGCACAAACAAGGTTTCTGCACAGCTTGAGTACAAAACGAAGGACTCGTACAGCAAGCTGGATCTTCGTTGCAACTGGGTCACAGGACTTCCATGATGACCTGGACTACCTTATGAAATGTCATTGTGTTTCGTGTGAAGGGTCA